TTAGTTTTTTATAAATATTTTATTATTTCTAATCTTAGTCAAATAATCAAACTAATAGATTTGAATGTTATCTATTTAAAAAAAATCCTTAAAGAGAATTTTTGAAAAATTCTTATTAATATATTTAAAAAAAATCCAAATCTAATATCTTATTATAAAAATGATATGTCTAGAATAATATTTATTTTCAATTATTCTTAAGAATTATTTTATCGAAATAAATTTTGTCAATTAAATCGAAAGGATATATAAAGACAATTTTTTAAAATATTCATATTGATATCAATTAGATTTTCACTGATTATTAAATAAAACAGAAAAAATAAAAAATTTTTAAAATAAATAATTGAAAATATTTCTCTATATTAAAATAATATATTATAGGAATGAATATTATTTTATTCTCTATCAATAAACAATTTGAAAACTAATTAAAAAAGACGATCAACTCATTTTAAAATTTAATTAGATTTTATTTAAATATATATTATCTTTATATTAAATAAATGATTCCAAACATTTCCTACCAGTCATTCCGAAGAGTTGGATATCTCTCCAACTGTTTCGAAATCATTTTTCTCCTTAACAAAAATTTTCATGGAAGTTCGTTTGGATTTTTCAACGAGACATTCTTTTGAAAAAAAAGGCATATTGGAATGACGTCATTGACAGTTGAGAATCGAACAGTGATTACCATTTATAATCAATTCTTACAAGATCGAGATGAAAACGAAAAACTATAGGGAATATCACTCAAAGACTAGTTTTCATAGAAAAATAAGCAAAGATCATTAACAATTTATTCTTATATTCGACAATGGTTAGAAAAAGTATTCTTTCTTATTTATAGTAAATAATAGGATTGATCGATATTATAGTATATTCCTCATTATTTCTATCTATTTATCTAACCTTATTTTATCTTTCTATAGAAATCGAATTATTCTCTATAAATAGTGTTTTATTTATTTCTACTCAATCTCAATATATATTCTATTATATTTAACTTGTTAAAACAATTTCTAATATATTCGTTATTAGTTGTTAGAAGAAGAAGAAGAAGACGATCTGATGATGATGTAGTTTGACACTAGAATAATAATTAATAGAAATATTGACTCTTTTAATGCATAAGAATATAACTTATGTACCATTCTTAGAATAAATAAATAGTAAATCAGTTAACACCTCGAAAACAAAAGCAAACATAAAGAGAATTTGTAAGAGTCTCTTATTTTCATAACAATCTTGAGATATTAATTAGATTTATTTGGCTTAACTTTCAATAGAATTTCCTGCTCATTTTAATTCCGAACTTCGATTAAAACTTAAGGATTTTATCTATATAAATCGATTGTCACTGTTAGTTATTATCTCCTGAATAAGTTTGATTATGAAGAGTCTGCTTTTATTTATTTTAAATTTATTTTTCTCATTGTGAACTAGCGTAGATAGAATTCCTAAGAGATTATCATTTATCCTTATCTATGGATAGGATAACAAACTTCGTTAGCGAAAGATCCTTATGATAACTCGGTGGTAAATGTTCGATTTCCCGAAATAAATCAATTGAAAAAATTCGAATAAATAATAATTTGTTTAAAAATCGATATTAATTATTAAATAAATAGTCAAGATATAAATTAACTTTTATAAATCTTCAACATATATTTAATACTATAGATAGATAATTATTATTCTATAAAGAGTTATTCAAAGTTAATAATTGAGTAGTTTTATTGGTGTTTTTTTTCTAATCGTTTAACTATTTATTGATTGTTAGTCAATAAATAAAAGTTGTTTTATATTATTTGTTATAATTCGATTAAAAACTTTCTTGATTAATTATTTGATGATAATAAATAGTATAACTCGAAAAAATTCAACTCTTAAATAGATATTAATTATTAACAATTGCTTTTTATTTGTTTAATTAGATAAATAATAAATAATAATTGATTCTATAGTTTCGTTTATCAATAAATTCTTCTCGATGAAGTTAACATAGAAATTGATTTTATTTCGTTTATATTAAATATTGATTTAGTCATACTTGATTAACTATAAGATTAAAATATTTATCTCAACTTAAGAATTTTTTTAAAAATTTTATTTAAAATATAAATAAAAATAAAAATAAATCTCTTTATATAAAATCTCTGTTGAAAAAGTGTTAAATGATTGATGTTAGATGATGAAGAAGAATTATCTCCTTTAAATAAAACAATTGTTAACAATTATTATTTAAGATAATTGAAATAGTGTATATACTATTAAACAAACAAATTAACATCGAAATAAATAAAGGTGAATAGAGTTCGAAATGATCTTTAAAAAAAAAAGTCGATATTAGATTTTATTTGAATATCTATTATAATAATAATATAACTGGTTGGTTTAATTATTTTAAAAAATGATCAATATTCAATATCAAGAATTTTTTTTTTCTAATTATTCAAATGATTATATTCATAAATCAATTAGTGTTTACAATGAAACCATTGAATTGAGAGAATTTTTATTAAAAAGAAAAATTTTTTTTCTTTTTTTTTCTCTAGAATTTTTTATAATATATTAGTAATAAATAAACTGATTTTGAAAAAAATCAAAATACATTATGATAATTATATTTGTTTTATTGGTTTCGAAAATGATAAATTCTCTTTTATAATATCTTTTTATTACTTTTCGATAATAAATCATTGATTTTTATCTTAAACCAATAAGAAAAAAAGGTAAAAGATTGATTTTTTTTTAAATCTAAAGAAAATAAATCTATAGAAATATCTTAAATAAAGATAAAAACAAACTCTAAGTATATAAATAAATTGATTTTCTATCTTGATATTTTCAATCATAAATAATTTAATCAATCAAATATAAATAATAAATAAAAAATGATTTCGAAATAAAACGATCATAAATTAATCTCTTATAGATGTTAATATCTTAACTATTTAAATAAAAAATAGTCAATATTAGAAAATAAATCATTAGAAAAAAACATATTGAATAAATATTCTTTCAAAATTCAATCTCAATATAAAGGATAGAGATAAATTTATTTATTTAAATCGAAATATATACCTATTTAATTAAATCTCGTTTATCTATCATAGAGAATGATTTATTTAAAAGAATTTTATAAATCTGTATTTAATTAATATAGATATTCAATCTTGATTTTCTTTATGAGCTCAATTTATCGTTAACTATTCATTATAGACAACCTATTTATATATCAACTGTTTACTTCTATTCTTCTCGAATTTGTTTACTCATTTATTTATTTATTTATATAAATAAATAATATATGGACAAAAAAATCTTCGGAAGAATTATCCTATCGATATAAATAGAAAAATTTTGAAGAATTTTTTTCAATAAAATATCGAAGCACAATATATAGCGTGAAAAGCTCTAAAATATAGATAAAACCGCTTATTTTATAGTTCGACTTTTTATTTTCAAAATAGACAAAATTTTCCGAGACCAAATTTCGACTATTAGAAAACGATATTTTTTTTTAATTTCATCTTTTTATAATGGTTGTAAGAAGAAAAGGTATTCCTCGTCTATTGAAAAAAGACTTTTTAACAACATTGAAATCTAATTGCTCAGAATTTTGTCAATTTCGAAAAAAAAAAGAATTATAAAATCATCTGTCATTTATTAATTGTAGAACTTTTCATGCTTCATCTTCTCGTATATTTGATTTTTTTATTAATAAAATATATCAGATGATAAAAAGATGACATAAGAAAAAAATAAATTTATCTTCCATAACAAAAAAAAACGAAAAACCCTTTTCTAATGGTTGAAATTTGGTTGTTAACAATTTTGTTTATTTTGAAAAGAAAAAGTCCAACTATAAAATAAGCGGTTTTATGTAAATTGTAGAGCTTTTTATGCTGGATCTTGTGATATAATTTATTAAAAAATGGTCAAAATGAACAAGAAGAATAATTAATGATAATGAAAGTAATTGATATTCTACAATATGATACACTTAAACAACGGAAGAAGAAAAAAGAAACGGTTTTTTTTTTTGGCCTTTTCTATTTAATATTTATTTATCAGCATAAAATGAAAATATAAAAAAATGTAAAGATTGTAAATGAGTGGATCGAACTCTAGAAATAAAATATATAAAAAAAGTCTGATCTATCTAATTAACCATAACGAGAAATTGTTCGAATAACTAATAAAAAAAAATTGATTTAATTGCTTTTTGTTTTCAGTTTGTTTTAAAGATTTTTCATATTAGTTAAAATAATATTTATATTTTTTAAATCTCGATAAAATCTTGTTCAACATTTAAGATTCGAACATGGTTTAGCTCATCTATTGATTATTAAAACCAAATAAAAACAAACAAGATCAACAGAATCCAAATAGATATATTCAATAATAAACGATCAAACTTATATTTCAACTCTTTATCGAGATTGTTATCTGATTTTATTTAAAGGTTTTTTTCTTCTTCAATAGATATTTGTTTAAATAAAATAAGAGAAAATGAACAAAGATTTTGAAATAAACAAGATAAACAAGGAGAAAGAAATACTCTTACTATAGAAATATATAAACGAATATTTCAAATTAATTCTTTATTGATCAGTTGAATAAATTGAAAAAGAAAAATAATATTCTTTCAACTTTTATTTTATTTTTTCTTCTATAGAAGATAAATATGATAAAAATAGAAATTGAATCATTTTTTATTTCTTGATAGATTTTGTTATTTGTTTTTTTTTTTTGAATTAAAAATAAATATTCAATTCTAGGTTAAATAAATATAAATCAATAATTCAATTTATATTGACAATTGATTATCTTAAATAAATAAAATAAACAATAAATAAATAAATAAATGTTTATTCAATGGATTATTGAGATTAGTCTTAAGATCGAATATGTTTACTTCAATTAAATACTTTTTCCTTTTATTTTATTCTTTCAATGATAAACGTTTAAGATAAATTGAAAAAAAAAAACTAATGTCAATAATTGAATTAAAATCTTCATTAGGTTATATATGGTATAGAATAGGTTGTTTTTTAATTGAAATCTATTCTCATATATCAAATCTTGGAATAATTCGTTATTTTGATTCATTAATTGAAGATAAATCAAAAGAAAGAATTATTATTATATGTTTAATATTAATTGCATTTACAATTGTATCATCATCAATTTCAACTATATTCAATTTATTTAATGGTTTTGGAAATTCAATTGAGGATTATCCTTTTTATTTATATAAATATAATAAAAATCCACTAAAATCATTACCATTATTATCTTTATTTGATATAAATATATCAATTCTTATTCTTTTACCAAATATAATTATTATTTCTCAACTTATTAATCGATATATAAAAGATGAAAGTAAGTTAACAATAAGAATATATTTTTATATAAACTATATATTATTATTTAAATTAAAAAATAAGGAAAGATTTATAATCTTATTAATTTCTATCTTTAATTTTAGAATTATTTATTTCGATTGATTATTTAATAAAGATAGATCTTTTTTATTTTAGAAAATAAATTTCGAAATCTGATTGAAAAAACTCTAATCTTGATTTAAATCGATTTTTGAAAAATCTCTTTCAATTTAAATAAAAATAATTTATTATCATTATCTTTTATCTTTTATCTTTTATCTTTAATTGAATGTTGAACAAATCTTAAATCTTAATCGAACTCGATTTAAATATCATTCTAATTGAGCTAAAAAATATTGAGTAGATTTTTTTATAATTCAATTTTATTTTATTTAAATAGAAAAATCTTCTTTTATTATATATATATATGATTAGAAATCGAATATAATATTAATAAGATAAATTGAGAATGACCATGGGTGATATTTTATCTCGAATAAATATAAAACTTATAGAAAATTGAAGATTTAGTCTGATAAGAAAAAAAAGTAAAATCGTATATGTATTTAAGATATTGTGTTTGAATCATCAATTGATATTTTAATTGGAAATGTTCTAAAAGGTGTTAAAAAAGATGGTCAATCAATTGAAATAATTAATTCAAATTCATCAGGATCATGTCAATTAATAAATTTCTTTCTTGTTTTAATTCGATATCATTTTTCTTATTCAAATTCATTTTATAAAATAAATAAATCAATTTGTTTAATAATGAGTATTTATTCAATTATTTCAATATTATTAACTATATTTATATATCGAACATTTGAACTTTTATTTAAACTTGAATCATTTATAATTAATTCATATAATATTTATTCTTATTTATTAATATTATCATTAATTATATCAATTTTATTTATATTATTAACAAATCATGCTTTATTTTATTATTATACAGTTTGTTATTTTCAACAAGAATATTATCAATCAAATAAGGTAAATAACAAAAAAAGAAAAGATTTTTTTAAAATAAAAATAAATTTTTTTTTTTTTTAAAAAGTTAATACGTTTATCAAATTTGAATGATCGATATTTAATTGAAAAATCCATTCGTCGTTCATTAATATATTATTTGTTATTTGTTATATTATGTGTTATATGTCAATTTCCATTTCTTATATTTATATTTAAATTATTTTATTCTGGTTTAATTGATTATTTATTTATTATTTATATTATATTTCTTTTATTATATTTATTTATTTCAATAATATTTCTTTTTTTTCTTTGTTTATTTCGATCATCTTCTTCGAATTTTAATTATTTAAATAAATTTACAAATTATAATAAATCAATATCATCACATTGTTTATATCGGTTTGTTTTTATTTAAAATAACAAATAAAATATATTCGATTTCCTTTTATTTTTTTTTCTTAAGATCAAATGAAAATGTTAAAGAAAAATTCTTTACGATTGGAACTTCTCATTTAATTCCAAGAGAATCAGTAAGTAGTTGTGGATTAACTATTATTGATCATGAAAATTCTAATCGAACAAATTCTCATTCAACATTTAAACAAACCGAACGTCTTGCTACTGATGCTTTTCTTGTTATGCATTAAACTATTTTATTTTATTCTCAATAAATTTATTTATTTACCTTTCACATTTTATCTTTTTTTTTGTTTTTATCAATTATTTATACCATCAATAACATATCAACAAACTTTTATTTCAAGACTGATCATTCTATTCAACGATAATACTTTTATTAAGATTTATTTTAGATAAAATAAACAAATATTTTATTCTATCTAACAGTCAATAAGACAATAATTGTTTATCTCGATATATATGTTTATTCAGTCGAATATATAATTAGAATAGAAAACATCTATCAATTATTCTTCTTTGACAAAAACAAAAATAAAAATATCTTATTGAAATAAAATAAATCTATATTAGTATTCATATTTAACGAATTTATCTAAACAATCAATCTAGAGATGAAGTCGATAGACAAGCAACATTTTAAAGTAAAGACACTTGACATTTTTTGCATGACAGACGGACATGGCACTTTCTTTATCGAAGAGGGATTTATTTACTCAGAAACGATTTGATATGATAGAAAAAAAGAATTTTTAACAAATGGAAAGATTTTTTGGAGAAAAATGATTTTTCGATGGAAAGTGCTCAACGAAATCCTTGTCTGGAGTTTTTCGAAAAAATCTTTTTCTTAAAAATTGTTTTGTGTTATATTTAATTCAACGCAGTTTAATACGCTGATTCCGAATATGCTTCTGTTTTTCATTTAATTTTTTTTCTAAAGCCAGAAAAACTGAAACTTATCTGAAAAAGTTACTCTTTTTAAAATCACTCTGCACTACAGGAATGTTTCCACTAACAGAGATCAGACGTTTCGAGATTAGACCTGGCCGAATTCTTCATTTTACGGTACTAGCCCTCTCGATGACACTTAAGAAAAAAAATATTATTATTTCTTTCTCAGATGTCAAACGTGTAAATTAAAAAAGTATTTTTTTATCATTGTATAGAACACGACTTAGATATTCATAAAGTATACTTGATTTATCTGTCAAACAGTTTTATTCTCTCAAATATAAACTTCCCCAGTGACATCAAAATTTTCAGACTGATTTCTGTTCAACTGGTTGTCCAGTTTCTTTGAAGATTGAGACAAAGTTATTCATACCATTGGATAGGCTATTTCGAACTATATTTCCCTATATTCAAACATTGAAAAAGCATGATTCTCATTTTCAGCTAGACATTCGACTAGATCCACAGTCTGGGGACAGGGAAGGCAAGGAGGAAGGTGGCGCGATTTTTTTCAGAGCATATAAACATTTTCTTTTATCTGAGAACCCAAGAAATATATTCGGCTCTGCTGGAAAAAAAACAAGAGTTTTTCATGATCAGGGAGTTTGACACACTCTAATCCCGCTCTCTTCTCTCCTGTCAACTCAGCCCTTAATTAACACACTCACAGCGATTCGATTTTCTTAGAAAATAACTTTAGCAAATTCATTTTCGTGCGCATTCATCTTCTGACGAATTTACTACTTGCCCTTTTCAGTATCTGCTGCCAGTTCTTCTTTTTCTGGTTTCTATTATTACATAGCCAGTTTGCTTTTCTCTTTCTTACCTATTGCACAGTACGAACTAGATAGACAATATCAAATTTAGATATTTTATCTTTTGCATTATTTTCGTAGCATCATCTTTGACTCTTTTCTCTTGAGTATATAAAAACAAATGAAATTTTTTGATGATTTACATGCCGTTTGAAGAAATTGACACAGAAGATTGCAGAAACTCAGTCAATGATGTGAATCCTTTGAATGATGATTTTTCTAGAATGGAATTTGAATCTTCAATCTCTGAGAAAGAAGTTCTTGATGATAACCTGCTTTTACAAGTTTGGAATGAAATTGAATCAGAACCTGATCCTAAGTTTCAGGAGGATCATCAGATCATTGAACAAGTAACGCTAACATCGGAAGACAATAAATCAATCCTATTGATTTCTATCGACATTTTATTATTGACGAAATTCTTAGCCTCATTGTTCGTGAAAGTAATCGATACGCGGAACAACGCTACAAACCCAGAAGCCTAGCAGACGATCAAAAACTCTTCAATGGGAACCAACTATTAACCAGTTGTACTCGATTATAATGATCGAAAACAAGGTATAGATTTATCTGATCAGCCATGATTGATGTGCTGGTTCCTAACTGATATTTACATAGGCAAGCTGAGAATGATGTCCGCCAGTGTATAACCAAAAGGTTAAGACATAAACATGACCGTTCATTATTGTAAGTGTTTGACGTAAGAAATCGTAATCGTTTTGGCATGTACCTTCATAACAAAAGGAACTTGTATATGTTACCTATGATTCCACTAGTACTACCTGGAGCCCTTCACGTCTTACCTGGTATGCTACCGACATTTGCGGAACGCGAGGAGGAGGGCATGAGATGTTTTAATGATAACCGGAAGGTAGCATCTGTTAGCGAACGGCTTCCATGGCCAAATAGCTTTTGAACAGATGTGACTAGCGTGGCCCACACATCACACACAAATTACTGTGTGCAAAGACGAGTATGGGTCGCGGCTCTTCAGAGGGCGCTTCGCGTCCCTACGCCACGATGCTGAAATGGAAGGTCAGTTATGCGGGAAAAAATCTTTTGCGGTAGATAGGTATTACGTGCGTCACACTACGATTAGTCCTACCATTATAATCAGAGTGAGTGCATAGCAGCGTTTTGTTCTTAGACTAGCATTATATTTCAAGGTCACATATATTCCTAGTGTATGTTTCGGAGAACTACAGGAAAATACTATCTGATCAGCCAGAAAGAATGACTAAGCCATCAAAGATGATGCTTCTAGTATCCCAGATCACGCTTCTGGTATCACAGACGACGCTTGTGCCATCTCAGATCATGATTTCAACCGCTTAGATGACGCATCTAGCATCCCAGATGATGCGTCTAGCGTTCCAGACAATGTTTGTACCAAGCCAGATGGTGCTTGTAGGATCTCAGATGATGCTTCTAGCGTCTCAGATGAGAATAGTATGCATGAGATTAAGTATTAGAAGTTAGAAAAACTACTATAGTGTGCTTCTTTGCTATTTTCACATGCGTACATCTTCGAATTTTTAAATTATAATTTATATAAAATTTTATCTTCTGCTTTTTCGACAGACTTATATGGATGTGTCAATTCGAATTATAAATTTATAATTAGGATAAAATTTATCTTTTTGCTATTTCAATATGGATGCGGTTTTTTCATTTATCTTTGAAGTAATTATAAGCACTTAGCTCTCCATTTATATACGAACTCGAATTAGGCATCTTATGGAGACGTAGGACACATACACTCTGAGTAGTTGAATACTGATTAAAATTCATTAGCGAAATGGAACTCCCGTGTGAAGCCCGATTGAATGGTTCACCGATGAACCCTTTGACAATTATGAACATGAAAGAACAATCAATAGAGTTTCTATTGGTTAACTTCTACCTATTATAATACATACAGAATCATGAATTTGTCTTTGTTCAGAGTGCATTCATTATCAATAAATGTCATATACTTGCAAAAACTAACAAACAGAATGACATATTTTTTCTTCAATCTTTCTCAGATGTACAATATAAATTGCTTACGAAGAGTTAATTAATATATGGAGAAAAGTTCTCAGAAATTTTCCAATCTGTATCGGTAGGAAAATTTCTGGCTACTTTTTTTGTACTTTACAACAACGCTATTGTTAAAGTGTTCGATAAGAATTATTTAAAATTACTAGAATTGAGACGAGATACAAGTTAAACATAAATAAAGTATCAATATTATGTATGTTTTACAACTACTTAGGAATATCCAAAACTAATGGCGGAGGTACTTTAATTCCGTATAAAAAGGTTAGAGAATCTCTTTCTCTATATGGACTGATAGGAAAAACGACGCTTTATTTTTCTACCATATGTGACGGTTATACTAATATCTACCCAGGTCGACCGTTACGATCTCCGTGAACCGTATACCGGGGAAACACGGAGAGATAAGGAAATCGTATATGGAGCGTTTAGGCTCGTAAACAACCGTATTTTTACCGTATACGGTCGTAAATGATTGTGTTTTATCGTCTGTAGGGAAAAAAATATTGGCATTTTTACCTGACATTATACGTACTTCTGCCACCAAACTATAGAATAGTGCCAGTGCATAAAATTTATCAGTGATATTATCACTGAGACATATATCTACCTACCTACCTATCTATCTATCCACCTATCTACCTACTTATCTATCTATTTCCCTACCTATCTATCTACCTACCTATCCACCTATCTCTCTACCTATCTACTTACCTATCTATCTACCTATCTAGCCATCTATCTATGTATTTATCGCTCTATGTATGCATTTCTCTGTCTATCTACCTACTTAAAGAGTTATCCAAAAAGTTTTGGCATCTCATAGAAAAACTTCCTTTTCTCCCTTATAACAAATGAAGAAAAATTCAAAATTGGACTGATAGTCTAGCAGTACTAGATGAATATCACTCTAAATTTTCACAGCTATAGCTCAAGTTATAGAGAAGCTATATAACTTCAAACTAAAAGATTTTTTTCACGTGACTTAATTAAGTAACCGGTGCCCACGATGAACAGTCATATTTTGTATATTTTTTTTTCAATTTCTAATGTTTCTTGAAAAAAACAAAATATACCAGAAGATGCAGCCTCAAAAGATCTACAATCTTCAACAGAAAGCTTATTTTATGTATGGTCCTTTAGTGTTCAAAATGAATGAAAATGATGAAAAGAGTTTGTCGTGTATAAAAAAAATTACTTTTTCGCAACACCAGAATTCGCTCACTTAGAAATCTGTCTATTTTGAACACTAGAGGACCATATATAAAATAAGCTTTCTATTGTAGATTGTAGATCTTTTGAGGCTACATCTTCTGGTATATTTTGTTTTTTTTTCAAGAAACATTAGAAATTGAAAAAAAAATATACAAAATACGACTGTTCATCGTGGGCACCGGTTACTTAATTAAGTCATGCGAAAAAAA